GTGGGAATGAGGACTTTAGGTTATTTTTTTTAAAGGTTAGAGTAGAGGGTTTTTTTAATGTTGGAATGTCCTGTTTACAATAAAAAAACAAAACAAAACGTGGTTTTAGCATTTATGTGTTCTTTTTAAAGTTTTAGTTTGATGATATCACATTTAGTATGAGTGACTCTATTTGGGTTTGATGTGGTCTATTGGGGCCTGATGTATGAATTCAGCCCTCTCATAATTTTGTTTTCATTTTGTTTTGAGACGGAGTCCTGCTTTGTCGCCCAGGCTGGAGTGCAGTGCCGCGATCTCAGCTCACTGCAACCTCTGCCTCCCAAGTTCAAGCAATTCTTCTGCCTCAGCCTCCCAGGCAGCTGTGACTAGAGGCATGTACCACCACAACTGGCTAATTTTTGTATATTTAATAGAGACGGGGTTTCACCATATTGGCCAGGCTGGTCTCGAACTTCTGACCTCATAATCCACCTGCCTCGGCCTCCCAAAGCGCTGGGATTACAGGTGTGAGTCACCGCGCCCAGCCCTGTTTTTGTTTTGAGACAGTTTTGCTTTGTCACACAGGCTGGCATGCAGTGGCACAATCTCGGCTCACTGCAATCTCTTCCTTCCGGGTTCAAGCAATTCTCGTGCCTCAGCCTCCTGAGTAGCTGGGATTACAAGCATGTGCCACCATGCCCAGCTGATTTTCTGTATTTTTTTAGTAGAGATGAGGTTTCACCATGTTGCCCAGGCTGGTCTTGAACTCCTGAGCTCAGGCAATCCACCCGCCTCAGTCTCTGAAAGTGCTAGGATTACAGGTGTGAGCCACCGTGCCCAGCCCATAATTTTGTTTTAAAGTTCCCCCTTTTCGGTCAGGTCCTCACTTAGGTGAGATTGTGACCCAAACTTAGGGCCCTAGCACCACCCTCAGTTACCAGATTTTGCAAGCGAGGGGTCAGCTGTCACAGCCAGCAAATCGGACCCAAGCCCAAGCTCCACCACTTCCCAGGTGTGTGATGTTGGCTCAGTCCCTGCACCTCTGAAACTGTTTCCTTTGGCGTCTAACACTGGTTGCCCATTCAAGAACTACGGTGCGCCAGGTGCTGGCTGTGACACATCTGACCTCCTGTGGTCCTCATTAATAGCCCTGACAGTGAGACAGAGCTGTCCTCTTTTACAGGAGAGAAAATGAAGCTCCAGTTGGCCATGGTGAAGATGGCCCAGGGTTAAATCAACGGCACGTACCGGGCCAGGCCCCACACAGGCCTACACATGGGATCTACCCAGGAACACCCCTGTACCAAGGTCTTCCATCTCAGCCCAGCCAGGGGCCTTCCCCACTTAAGCCCACCCAGCTCCCAGGCCTGCTCTGAGGACACCCTCCAAGGCTCTATCATGCAGCCTACTGATGTGCCCCCAGGGAGTGTCACCTGGTATGCCCCCAGGGAGCGTCACCTGGTATAACTCAGCTTGTACCAGGCAGGACTCACAGGGGCAAGTATTTGCCCTCAGGGAGCCCCTGGTCCAGAGCACACAGCCCCAGAACATCCAGGCTGGGAAGGTCTTTTGAGATTTCCCAAACGCCGTGGACTACAAAAATCACTTGGGGTGCTTGTGGAAAAAGTCTTATTCCCAATTGTACTATTCTGGGAGGAGGATTGACTGGGCAGTGCATGAGGGAACTTCCTGGGGAGTTTTGTTCTGTCGCCCAGGTTGGAGTGCAGTGGCACAATCTCGGCTCATCGAAACCTTCACCTCCAGTGTTCCAGCGATTCTCATGCCTCTGCCTCCCAAGTAGCTGGGATTACAGCGTTTCCACCTGGACAGAAATATTCTTTATCATGACCTGAGACATAGTTAAACATATGTATATTTGTGAAAGGTTGTCGAGGGCCTAATCGCCCCTACGCTGTCTATATCGTGAGGTTTTGGGGAGGATCTGATGGGATTTCAATAAAGGGAGTGTTGGGAAAGAAAAGGTTTAGTGGAGGGATGTGACTATATTCAAGTTGAAAAAGAGAGATTAGAGAGATATAATAACCCCCAAATAAATCCCTACCTCTCCTACCCCTGACCTACGCAGTCAGAATCTCCCAGGTCAGGGCCTGGGAAGCTGTTTTTTACTTTTTGTTTTGAGACAGGGCCTTACTCCGTTGCTCAGGCTCGAGGGCAGTGGCACGATCACAGTTCACTACAGCCTTGAGCGATCCTCCCGCCTCAGCCTCCCAAGTAGCTGGGACTACAGGCATACATGACCACATTTGGCTAATGTTTACATTTTAAAAATAGAGATGGGGTCTCACTGCATTGCCCAGGCTAGTCTTGAACTCCTGGGTTCAAGTGATCCTCCTGCCTCAGTCTCCCAAAGTGCTGAGATTATAGGCATGAGCCACTGTGCCTGGCTGGAAGATGTACTTTTTTTGGTTTTTTTGAGATGGAGTCTTGCTCTGTCGCTCAAGCTGGAGTGCAGTGGCACCATCTCAGCTCACTGCAACTTCCACCTCCCAGTCAAGATTCTCCTGCCTCAGCCTCCTTAGTAGCTGGGATTACAGGTACCCGCCACCACACCTGGCTAATTTTTGTATTTTTAGTACAGACAGGGTTTCACCATGTTGGCCAGGCTGATCTTGAACTCCTGGCCTCAGGTGATCCACCCGCCTCAGCCTCCCAAATTGCTGGGATTACAGGTGTCAGCCACTGCGCCTGGCTGGAAGCTGTATTTTTAAGTCATTTTCTGAGCAGATTTGTTTGGGAAACTTTGTCTTAGAGATCATCCCATTGTCCAAATGGGAAGACTGAGGTCTAAAGAGGAGGAAAGCCTTGCCGGTGAGAGGAACCACTATGAGCAGACCCTGCATCTCCCAGTTGCTGCCCCCGAGACACACACAGGGAGGGAGCTATCAGAGTCGGCCTGGAGCCAGCGTCCCCTAGCCTGTCAGCTGAGCCTTCTGGGCTCTTCCAAGGAGCTGTGGCTGGAGAGGAGAGTTGCCCTTGTGTCCTGGTGGGCACTTGGAATGAGGCAGGGGCTGGGGGGCTTCTGCATAGCTGCCTAGGGAGGGAGCCTTGCTAAAGGCCAGCCCAGTAACCTTTCAGCTGCAGAGTCATAGGGACGGGACATGGAATTCCTCCCTCTACCAAGCCCAGCATCTCTGGCAAGCCTTGCTGGCCAGGACTGTATTCATTACTGGAGGAAGTTGTTCATGGCCGTCATAAAGAGCTGGATGAAGCACTTGGGCAGGAATGTGTGGTGGTCAGAGTGGGCTGCAGGTCAGATCCAAGGAAGGACTTCCCTACAGGGCAGTGGGCCAGTCCTGGGGATATAGTAAAGCTCAGACTTCTAGCCGCTGACAGCAGCCCCCCATCCTGGCAGGAAACAGACACAGAAGGGCCCTGGAGGCCTGGTGCCAAGCCATGGCATCTTTAGGGCTTTGATGAGAAGCCAGCTAGCCTCAACACCTCTGCACGCTGTGCTTCTCAGCCTAAAATGTTCCATGCTGTCCAACCAATGAATCCCTCCCTCTGCCGTCTACCTACCTCACCCCAGCCCAGACAGCAGTTTCGGCTCCTCCCCAACTTCCCAGAACCCAGTGCCACGAAGTCCTTGGTGGCATTTATCAGAGCCTAGGAGAATCATGGGTTGTCACCCTCTCGCCATGGCAAGCTCCTAGAGAGCTGGAATCCTGCTTTGCTGATGGCAGCAGCCCCGTGGCGGCAGAGGCTGGCACTGGCCGGGTGGGAAGGGAATGTCACTAGGTGGAAGGATGACGGGGTCAGAGGGTGGGTGGCTGAAGAGACAGCTCAGCAGCAGTGAAGATGGGTGCTGGAGCCAGGCTGCCTGGGTTCTGATCCTGCCTCTGCCCCTCACCAGCTGGGCAGCTCAGGGCAGGTGACCTCACCCCTCCACGCCTCATCGAAGCCACCGCATTGTTGTAAGGATGTGTTCGTACACACCAGGGCGTAAAACAGGCTGGATGTGCTAGGTGTTGAGTGAACGTCAGTCAGGAGCAGGGTTATGGGGAGCGGGGGCAAATGGGGTGGATGGACTGCAGGGCAGACATGGGCAAGTGGGGCAGATGAGGAGCTGGAGCTGAGAACAGACGGACCCTTCCCAACCCACTCGGCCAAACTGCCATGTACTCAGGGATTTCCCAGAGACCTGTTCACCTGGATGGTGGCAGACAGTCCTTCGAGCTCTAAGGCTCTAGAACCCAGAAGCTCACGTGCCTGCTGATCACCCCTGCTTCGAGGGGTATGTTCTTACGCAGCAGAGGCCCCATTCTTACAGTCAAAGGGCTCCCATCCCCAGAGAGAACCGGATCTCTCTCCCCCCTCAACATGCACTTGGGAAGAAACGAATAACCTATCAGGTAGCCTGACACTTTCTTTCTGTCTTGAAGGGGAGAGAGAGAGAAAGTCTAGGACGGGGTACCGGCCCGAGGAGTCCGTGGGGGTGGGCCGAACAGCAGGCTGGAAGGCTGATGGGGTTGAGATGAGCAGAAAGAGATGATGCTCCCAGCAAGACCTGAGTGTGCAGAGGCAAGGAGGCGGGAATGTGCGGGGTGGGGGCAGGGAGAAAGGCACGAGCAGGCGGCCGGCAGTCAGGGCAGAGGGGCAGGCTGGACCCACCGCAAAGGGCTCTGCTCCCCGACCACGGCCTGGTCGACAGCACGTCTCCTCTCACTACCTGCCCCATCTCCAGCCCCATTTTACAGGCGAGGACAGTGAGGCTCAGACTGTCTGTCACTTACCCAAGGCCACACAGCAGAGCTGGAATCAGAAACCCCAAGGGTCTGGGTTCTGGAGCCAAAGCTTCTCTGGGGGTCCCTGAGGTTCCAGGATGGTCATGAGGCCCCAGATCAACTCTGTGAGCAAAGGACTGATGGCCCGAGAGACAGCAGGAGGGAGGCGTGGGAGGGAGATGCGGGGGAGGGAGACAGTGGGGCCCAGAGACACCATGCGTGAGGCCTGTGACACCCTGGCAGGGGTGGGGGCGGGGGATGGCTGCTTTGCAGGCACACAGGCTTCTGCCATGCCACAGAGAGGACATGTTCTGCCCCAGGCCATCTCGCTCCAGGCCAAGGCTAGATACCAAGTGGAGAGCGCAGTGGGGGAGGATGGCCACGCACTGCGCATCTGAGGTGTTCCCCAGTCACCTCCAGCACTTCTCCCAGCACCCTGCCTTGAGGATGAGCTGAAGTCAGAGCCTCCCCAGTACTAGGAGACATGGCCATCCCATCCTTGCTCTCACAACCAACATCGAGAAAAGGAAGGCACAGAGAGGGCACACTACCTCCCCAGCGTCACACAGCAAATCGGGGACAGGGATAGGTCTCCCCACTAACCAGCTGAGGATTTGGAGGGCAATTACCAGAAGACAAGGCAGTATTTGAGGCACAGTGTGGACGCCAATGTCATGGACTTCCATACATTAGTGATTTGCGGCCACTGATGAGAATATTTCAAACTGAGACTATTTTAGAAAAATCCTTATTTTACGTATTTTGTCATTGTATTAATAAGAGTAATAATAACAAACCCTTTCACAGACCCCACTACATGCCATGCATCATTCTAAACACTTTACCTATATTAACTCACTTGATCCCCACAACAACCTTCACGGTAAGCACTATCATTATCCCCATTTTACAGGTGACAAGACAGAAGCACAGAGAGGTTAAGGAGCAAGCCCAAGGTCACACAGCCAGCAAGTGAGCAAGCCAGAATTCAGCCTGACTTGGGGATGTTTCTGTCTTCCTGGACTAAGCATAAACTCCTGAAGCAGCAGGCAAGATTGGAAACGAACCAGCATTCACCCTCTCTGCAGTATGTACATTACAGGTACACATTACACATTTGCAGATGAAGGGGTTGCATGCGGCTACTGTTTGATTCATACTCACTATACTGTTCCCAAATGTTATTTCATTGTATCTACACCATGGTTCCCAGGGGGGCGGTGCTTCGGGGCTTCTTATAACCGTAACTTTACAGGAGAGGTGAGGTGACTTGCCAGAGGCCACACAGCAAGAGAGTGTCGCATCTAGGGTCCAAGTCTCTGATCTTTGTACAGTATCTTGTGGCCAGTCCTGCAGTGGAAATCACTCGGGGACTTGCAGTGACAGGGATGGAAGGACTCCAGGTTCAAGACCTGGCTCTGCCCCTGGCCAGGTGGGCGCCCCCTGGACATCCCTGCCCATAATCCCCTACTTCAGCTCACCCTCAAGGCAGGACACTGGCCAATCCCGGCTCTCCCCACTCCCCTCCCCCTAGCAGAGGATGTGTTGTCTGCGCAGATGGCCCCACACAGGCCCTGTGAGAGGAGGCTGAGGAGGAGCCGGGCTGTGGGGAAAGGCGCAATGAACTTGCAGTCTGCTGGGCAGCAGCCAGCACAAGCCGAATCCCTGGGTGGCCGGCGCGGAGGGCTCAGGTCAGAGGAGGAAGGACGCGGGTGTTCCCAGAGACAGTGCTTAGGGCAGCTGGGCTCCAGATAACACGTTCCTCACATTCCCAGAGGACGCTCCAGCCAGCCTCACGGAAAGCTCCTGTGGGTTCTGCATTTGATCTCCGCCGAGACCTTGAGACACAGCGGGGTGGGGCTGACGCCTAGAGCCCCAGACAGGAAACTGGAGGTGAGGTCCCACCCAAGGGCACGCAGCTCAGCAGGCCCCCCTTCCCTCTGATCACCGGCTGCGTGACCTTGGGTCCATCACCTCACCCATCAACTGGGGACCATCCCGGCAAGAGCCTACGTCACTGTAGGAACAATGATTCCGTGAGACAAGTAAGCAAGGAGAGGAAGACCCAGGGCCTGGCACACAGTAAACAGTAGCTGTTAGTCAAAGCAACAGTGACCACGAGTGTGCCGGGCACTGCTCTAAGTGCTTCACACATGAAGCCATCTGGTCCTCCCTCATTGCTCCCAGTGTACAGAGAAGTCAAGGACCTTGGCCAAGGTCACATCGCTACTAACAGGATCCAAAGAGGAAGAGGGAGGAACTCTCTATGGAGCACCTACTACGCGCTGGGGGCTTTTCACCCAGTCTTCCAATTCCAGTGAAGTGGGAATGATCAGGTCTGGCTCAGAAGGGAAAACCAAGGCTCAGAAAAAGGAGGGAGGTTCAGGGTCACACAGCAACCACGTGGGAGGGCTGGGATTCCGGCCAGGCCTGTCCAGCTCCACATCCAGTGTACATGCCACCCCCACCCCAGACACGTGCCAGGACAACCTCAATCACCAATGGAAAACCTAGTGCCTCAGCCATCCCAGGCACAGGGGTCCCTGCCTCAGTGGGGCTACATGAGCTCACTCTGCCGGGGTATGTGTGTATGTGTATGTATGTGTATGGTGGGGGGCGGGGAAATGTCCTGGCAATGAGCCGTAGGAAGCCATGCCTGGCTGCTGCCCCGTGGCTGGTCCTCATGTCAGGCTGCTCTCTTGGCTCCCCGTGGGCTTTCCTGTGATTGCAGCTTCCTGAGGGCCTCATATCTAGACAGAGTGCCCCTCCACAAAGGGAGGGCTTCAGTCACGTTGGTCCCGTCCCTCCCAGGTCAGCTCCTCTGGGTTTATAATTCTGCATAGAGAGGCTGAGAGGATGGGGGCAGCCCAGGGTTACAAGTCGGAACCCTCGCTGCATACTCAAGGGCTGATTCCTTGACTGTAGAGCAGGGATAATAAAACTCCATTCCGCTTCCAGTATCCACGTCTTAGAAGGGAAGGAACCACACTTCTAAGGTACAATGCAGATGTTTCCACGGCTCTCCACTGTGCTCCCTCTGGTGAGTGGAGTGGACATCTACCGTCGTTTTTGGTCACCCAGGGTCCATTTCCCCATCCTAACAATACCACTGGGTTTCCTTGGAAGTGACCCTCCCTCCTTCAGCCTGGTTTGTATGGGACTGATCCCATCTCCAGCTCCAGGTGGACCCTAACTGGCCCTAGCTGGAAGACTCTCTCTGCCTGCTGGGTTATGAGGGTGTGAAGTGTGGGGAGGGGCACTTTGTGCAGCCTGAAGAGGAAGCGACCTCTCAGAGATGGAATAGTGAAAGGTAGAGACCTTGAGTCTTTGATAGCATCACTTGGGCTCCTAGATGCAGCCATGCCTAAAGCCTTTCTCTGAACATCCTGATTACATGAGCCAATTAATTCCCACGTTGGTTATCTTGGCTTTTCTGTTACTTGGAACACAGTCTGACCTCAGAACCGCAGCTCAGCCAGTTTTTCTGAGCCCCTTAGATTGTGAGCAACCAAGTCAGGTCATTCATACTCTGCCAGCTGTTTCTGCCAGAGGAAAAATCTAGCCAACATGCGAAAGCTGACAAGTTTCAAGTATGAGGTAATGTAAGACTCCAACTTCCTAAAAGTCACTTTCTACTTGGAATCTATAAACTTGTAGAATTATAGAAAGTTTAGCTGGGCGTGGTGGCTCATGCCTGTAATTCCAGCACTTTGGGAAGCTCAGGCAGGTGAATCACAAGGTCAGGGGTTCGAGACCAGCCTGGCCAACATGGTGAAACCCCATCTCTACTTAAAAATACGAAAATTAGCTGGGCATGGTGATGTGCACCTGTAATCCCAGCTACTTGGGAGGCTGAGACAGAAGAATCACTTGAACCCAGGAGGCGGAGGTTGCAGTGAGCCAAGAGCCTGCCGTGAGCCAAGAGCCTGCCATTGCACTCCAGCCTGCACAACAGAGCAAGACTCCATCTCAAAAAAAAAAAGAATTATAGAAGGTTTTTGGGCTGGACTTGCGTTAATAGCCCTGCAGGACTCAGACCCTCACTTTCTGGTAGGTTGTTGTCCACTGAGCTCAACAACTCTTTGGCCACCCGGTTCTATGCATCTGTTGTGTGCCTGGCCCTGTGACAGGACCCGCAGGTACAAGCTCTGCCTTCCAGGCCGTTCAGGTGGTGACTGGTTATAATTCACCTTCCTAGCAGGTTTTACACAAAAGGTCCCAGAGGTCCCTCAGAGGGGGAATACCACTACACCCATTTCACAGAGAAGAAAGGAGAGAGACAGCAAGGTGAGGTGACCTGCCCTAGGTCCTTCTGCTAAAAAGAGGGGCAGGGCCAGGCCATGTCCCCAAATCTGCCTGGCCCTGACCTTACTGCATTTTATCTAGTCACTGGAATGGAGTGGGCTGGGACTGTCATTTCTTTGAAAGAGTTGTTCCACTCAGGAGCAGTCAGAGTGCTTTAAAAAGCTAAGAAAACAGGAAAGCTAAGTGTCATGAGCATCCTGTTTGCCTGCAGGTCTTGACTTCTTCCGAAGCCCCAGTATTCGACCTGTCCAGCTTTATTCTCCTTTTTTTTTTTTTTTTTTTTTTTTTGACAGGGCCTTGCTCTGTCACTCAGGCTGAAGTGCAGTGACACGATCATGGCTCATTGCAGCCTCAACCTCCTGAGCTCAGACGACCCTCTTGCCTCAGCAGAGGACCAAGTAGCTGGGACTACAGGCGAGCGGCACTACACTTGGCTGATTATTTAATTTTTAGTAGAGACGAGGTCTCGTTATGTTGCCCAGACTGTCTCAAACTCCTAAGCTCCAGCAATCCTCCTGCCTCAGCCTCTCAAAGTGCTGGGATTCCAGGGGTGAGGCCCTGCACCCAGCCAAAGTTTCATCTCCTATAGGGCTCGCTGCTTGCAGCCTGTGGCCAGAGAGGGAACTGGCACTACCCTGAGATCCAGGCCCCAAATGGTTTCATGGGAGACCTCGTCACCCCAAGTGAGCTGTCCCAGCCTCTCTCAGGCCTCTGCCCATGTCTCTAAGACCCAGCAGACCGTGACTAAACACCTTCTATGCCCTAGGGCTTTCCCTATATGTTATTCAACCAACATCCACTGGACCACTGTTTATTGAGCAGCCACTATATGCCAGGGGCTGTTCTAGGTGCTGAACATAGCAGCCCAAATCCCTGTCAGTGGGGCAGGCAGACAAGAAAGCAAGTAAAAGCAATAGAACGCCAGGTGGCGGTAAGTGCAGTGGGGAAAAGAAGGCAGGGAGGACGGGAGGTTTGCAATTTTAGAGAAGTCAGAGAAGGTCTCACCAAGAAATCATCTCACCGTAGCCTTGCAATAATTCCACGCAGGCCAGGACGTGATTCCCAAATCACGGATAAGGAAGGATAAGGTTTCAGGATTAACTCTCGAGTCCACACATGTCAGTACAACCAGCGCAACTGGATTCTTGCCCAGGGCTGCCTGGCTCCCACGTGCGCTCTCCACTAACTCTACCAAGTGTTACTAGCAGCCCTTTTGCAGATGAAGAAACTGAAACCACAAACCCAGACCCTCAGGAGTACACGAGGGTGAGGGGTGGCGGGCCGCCCTCTGCACCTGCCTCTTGGCAAAGCCCACATCCGCTTCCTAGACCTATCTCCAGTGTCAGCTCTGGGCTTGTTGAAACTCAAATTCCTCTTTGCTGACTCCACGTCCTCCCAGAATCCTCCTCTCTTTCCCAGAGCCGCTTTGGCTCTCTATCCCAGGTCATATCAGTCCTAAATTGTCCAACCCACCGTTGTTCTGCCTCCTCAATTAACTTCTGGCCCATCACTAAACCTGCATTTGCATTAAACTACAAAAGGCATCTTGCAAATGGCCAAGGATGGACAGTCAGTATACACATGTAAGGTCCGGTGTGGTGGCTGACACCTGTAATCCCAGGACTTTGGGAGGCCAAGGCAGGAGGACTGCTTGAGCCCAGGAATTCAAGACCAGCCTACGGAACATGGCGAAATCCTGTGTCTACATAAATTAGCCAAGCATGGTGGCATGCACCTGTAGTCCCAGCCACTCAGGAGGCTGAGACTGGAGGATTGCTTAAGCCCAGGAGGTCTAGGCTGCAGTGATCCAAGATTGCACCACTGTACTCCAGCCTGGACGACTGTTTATTAAGCAGCTACTATACAGCAAGACCCTGTCTCAAAAAAAAAAAAAAAAAAAAAGCATCCGCATGTAAGGGGCTGGGAGACTTCTCACTGTGCTTTCTCATCTGCCTGTATTTGGTAATCTCCCAAGTCCCATTCTAATCTTTTTTTTTTTTTTTTTTTTGATACGGAGTTTCACCCTTGTCACAGAGGCTGGAATGTGATGGCACGATCTTGACTCACTGCAACCTCTACCTCCCAGGTTCAAGTGATTCTCCTGCCTCAGCCTCCCTAGTAGCTGGGATTACAGACGCCCACCACCACGCCTGGCTAATTTTTGTATTATTAGTAGAGATGGGGTTTCGCCATGTTGACCAGACTGATCTTGAACTCCTGACCTCAAGTGATCCGCCCACCTCAGCCTCCCAAAGTGTTGGGATTACAGGCGTGAGCCACCGCGCCTGACCCCAGTCTAATCTTCTGAATACTGTAGCATGGTGGAAAGACGGTCTTGGGGGAGGTGGACCTCGGGTTAAGTCCTGGCTCTGTAGCTTTGAAAGGAACTTTGGAGCTTCAGGTTGCTTATCCATAAAACAAGCACTAGTCACCCTCACCTTGTAGGGTTGTTTTACAGATAAAACGCAGTGGAGAGCATGTGTTAACGGTTACAATTCAACAGAGTGTATTTGGAAAGCAGAACCGGGCAGATAATCATCAAGAATCTATTGAACTGAAAGATGTCAGCACAGAGGGGAAAAAACTGTCACCAGCAGAAGGACAGCTGCAGTCACTGTGCTCCTACACTTTGAGATAGGTACTCTTAGTATCATTCACATTTTATGGATGAGGAAGAAGGCACAGACAGGTTAAGTAACTTGTCTGAGGTCACAGAGCAGGCCAGCAGAGCTGGGATTCTGAGCCCGAATTGTCCAAGTCCAAACTACAAGCTCTTAACCCTTATGCTAGGTTAAGTAAATGGTGGCTTTCAATGTTGAAAGAACTGCTCCATGACACAGTGTTATGCGCTGACCCAGGAGGGGATGGTGGGCAGCCCCACGCCAAAGCCTATGTTCCCACCATGGTATCAGCACAACAAACTGAAAGGGACTCTAGGAATAATCTAACCCAACACCTTCACCTTTTTCCCCAGGAGAAACCTGAGGTCCAGAGAGGCAACATGACCTGCCCAAAGTCACACAGCCGATTAGTTGAAGAATCAGGGCAAGCACCCTGGTGTCCTGACTCCAGAACCCCATGCCATCACTCAGCATCACCTTGACCATGAGGCATGGTCGAGGAAGGAGTCTTGAGGACGTGCTCTAAGTGTTCAGCAGAAGTGGAGGGAAGGGAGCCTAACTGCTGGAACAGCCCATGTCAAGGCCATGAACGTCTTTCCTGGAGAACAAGGACCTGTAAGGTGCCTGCAGAGGTTTGGTGGGGCAGAGGATGAGGTCGTTTTCTCATATTGAATATTTGCATTCGGCTCTTATTTTTAATGCTCTCTCATTCTACTTTATGTTGTTAAGGTTTTTCCTTATTTCTCTTGTATGTTTCTAATGTTTGTTTAAAAATCGCCGGGCGCGGTGGCTCACGCCTGTAATCCCAGCACTTTGGGAGGCCGAGGCGGGTGGATCACGAGGTCAAGAGATCGAGACCATCCTGGTCAACATGGTGAAACCCCGTCTCTACTAAAAATACAAAAAATTAGCTGGGCATGGTGGCGCGTGCCTGTAATCCCAGCTACTCAGGAGGCTGAGGCAGGAGAATTGCCTGAACCCGGGAGGCGGAGGTTGCGGTGAGCCGAGATCGCGCCATTGCACTCCAGCCTGGGTAACAAGAGCGAAACTCCGTCTCAAAAAAAAAGAAAAAAAATCTTGGTCTTGGGCTGGGTGCATTGGCTCATGCCTGTAATCCCAGCATTTTAGGAAGCTGAGGCAGGCGGATCACATGAGGTCAGGAGTTCAAGAGCAGCCTGGCCAACGTGGTGAAAGCCCGTCTCTACAAAAATACAAAAATTAGCTGGGCATGATGGCAGGTGCCTATAATCCCAGCTTCTCGGGAGGCTGAGGCAGGAGAATCACTTGAACCTGGGAGGCAGAGGTTGCAGTGAGCTGAGATCACACCATTGCACTCCAGCCTGGGCGTCAAAGCGAGGCTCCATCTCAAAAAACAAAAAAATTAAAAATTAAAAAAAAAATTGGTATTTTTATACTAATACCCCCTACAGTTTGCCTTTTGAATTCACTGTGCTCTGGCTGGTGGTGGGGCAGAAGCTGGGGAAATCTGCACACTCCTTGCTTTTAAAATGAACAGAGAGGGAAGACACGTGGTTCCTGGATCATCCTTCTCAACATCAATCCCAAGTAACGACAGAGCAAAACATCACTAAATCTAGGCAACAGGCTGGGTGTGGTGGCTCACGCCTGTAATCCCAGCACTTTGGGAGGCCGAGGTGGGTGGATCATGAGGTCAGGAGTTCGAGACCAGCCTGGCCAAGATGGTGAAACCCGTCTCTAATAAAAACACAAAAAAATTAGCCAGGCACGATGGCACGTGCCTGTAGCTACTCGGGAGGCTGAGGCAGAATAGCCTGAACTGAGGAGGTGGAGGTTGCAGTGAGCCGAGATCGCACCACTGCACTCCAGCCTGGGATACAGAGTGAGACTCCGTCTCAAAAAAAAAAAACAAAAACAAACAAACAAACAAAAAAACACCTAGGCAATGATGGAGAAACAGAGTCTCCTGGGGAGATGGAAGGGAGTTTTAAACTGGTGCATGCAGGGTGGTAAGGAGGGGTTGCTGCAGCCAGGGGAAAGGGCAGGGCATGGTCATTAGGGTGGAGAGAATATTACAGAACAGAAAACAGGGTTGAGTTCTCCTCTTGTCTCTTTGTGCCAAGACCAGGCCCCCATACACACACCCACTGTCCTGGGACAACTAAGGTCAGAGCTGGGTGCGGGGCTGGCATTCAGCCCCAGGGCCGCCCTCTGGACCTGTCTCTTGGCAAAGCCCACATCTTCCACCCTAGACTTCAGTCTCCAGTGTCAGCTCTGGGCTTGTTGAAACTCAGTCCTCCTCTCTGCTGACTCGATGTCCTCCCAGAATCCTCCTCCTTTTCCCAGAGCCCCTTTGGCTCTCTCCCAGGTCCTGTGAGCCCCAGATTGTCCAAACCACTTTTGTTCTGCTGCCTCAATTAACTTCCGGCCCATCACTAAGCCCACATTTGCATGAAACCCACAAAAAGCATCTTGCATAAAGCAGCCCAGGCAGATGGCACCGGCGTCTGCTGAGATAAAGTCAAAGCATGGGCTGTAACCCAGCACTTTGGGAGGCCAAGGCAGGAGGATCGCCTGAGCCCAAGAGCTTGAGACCAGCCTGGGCAACAAAGTAAGACCCTATCACTTACTTTGTTGAGGAAAAAAAAAATCAAAAATCAAATCAAAAATAGGCTGGGCTCCGTGGCTCACAACTGTAATACCAGCACTTTGGGAGGCCAAGGTGGGTGGATCAGTTGAAGCCAGGAATTTGAGACCAGCCTGGCCAACATGGCAGAACCCTATCTCTACTAAAAATTCAAAAATTAATTGGGTATGGTGACGGGTGCCTGTAATCTCAGCTACTTGGGAGGCTGAGGCACGAGAATGGCTTGAACCTGGGAGACAGAGGTTGCAGTGAGCTAAGGTTGCACCACTGCACTCCAGCCTGGGTGACAGAGCAAGACTCCATCTCAAAAAAAACAAAATCAAAAAATTATCTGGGTGTGGTAGTACACGCCTGTAGTCCCAGCTACTTGGGGGACTGAGGCAGGAAGAGTTCTTGAACCCAGGATGTCAAGGCTACAGTGAGCCATGTTCATGCCACTGCACTCCAGCCTGGGTGACAGAGTGAGACCATGTCTGGAAAAAGAAAAAACATTCAAAACATGGCAGCAAACAGTGTGGAACTGCAGGGACTGCAGGAATTGAGAGGGGACCCCACAGTCACTACACAGAGCATCTACCGTCGCTCCACCAGCCCTTAGACCCTGAGTCTGAAGAATTCTGACCTAGGTATGCAGCCCCTTCCCCTCACTGTTTCTCTCTGGGGTCTGAAAGAAAGGCCCAATCCCGTGGAGTGAGTCATGGGAGAGGGAGAATGCTGATGTCAACCCTAGTGAAAAACCAAGCGGCTCTGATGTCCGGGGGTTCCCGTCCTGGCACTGTCGTCTCTTTGGACTCATTGGAACTGGGAGACTAAGGTCAGCCTTAAACTCTTACCAAAGACACAGCACCAAACAGAATAGCTGAAACCCCCCACGGAATAAGCTCACAAGTTAACAAACAGGGTATCTGGCCGGGCACGGTGGCTCACATCTATAATCCCAGCACTTTGGGAGGTTGAGGCAGGTGGATCACAAGGTCAGGAGTTCAAGACCAGTCTGGCCAACATGATGAAAACCCATCTCTACTAAAAATATAAAAATTAGCTGGGCGTGGTGGCAGGCGCCTGTAATCCCAGCTACTCGGGAGGCTGAGGCAGGAGAATCGCTTGAGCCCAGGTGGCGGAGGTTACAGTGAGCCGAGACTGTGCCATTGCACTCCAGCCTGGAAGACAGAGTGAGACTCCGTCTCAAAAAAAAAAAAAAAAAAAAAAAGAGCCAGGCGTAGTGGCTCATGCCTGTAATCCAAGCACTTTGGAGGCCAAGGCAGGTGGATCACCTGAGGTCAGGAGTTCAAGACCAGCCTGACCAATATAGTGAAACCCCATCTTTAAAGAAAAAAGAAAAAAAACAAACAAACAGTATCCAAGGAGCACAATGACTTCAAAAGGAAGCCAAACCGATTAGAGACACCGCTGGAATCAGCCATATTAGATCAGATCTAGCAAAAACCGTAACTGCCTAGGTCTAGTGATGTCTTGCTTTTCAGTATTTGGGATTGATTTGAGAGGGGGGATCCAAGAGCCATATCTTTCCTCTCTGCTAATTTTAAGGGCAAGAAGTGCCCCTCCAACCCCAGCCCACCACCAGCCACAGCATAATGAATTCTAAAGAAAAACCATAACAGGGCCAGGTGAGGTGGTTCACACCTGCAATCCCAGCACCCTGGGAGGCCAAGGTGGGTGGATTACTTGAGTCCAAGAGTTTGAGACCAGCTTAGGCAACACATTGAAACTCCGTCTCTACAAAAAAATTTAAAAAAACAAAAACAAAACAAAGCTAGCTGGGCATGGTGGTGCGCGCCTATAGTCCCAGCTACTCAGGAGGCTGAAGTGGGAGGATTACTTGAGCTCAGAGGGTTGAGGCTGCAGTGAGTCGAGATCACGCCACTGCACTCCAGCATGGGCAACAGAGGAGACCCTGTCTCAAAAAAACCTAACAAAACAAAACAAAAAATCCCCACAAACTGTGAGAAACACACAAAAGAAACGAACAAAGATGTTAGCAAAACAGAAAGAGGAACTGTTAAAAGACCCCAGTGGAAACATTCTATGTGAAAAACCAGTAGGAATAACAAACACATAAGTGAATAAATTACAGAGTGGAACTAGCTGCTGAATGGTGGAGGAGAGAGCTAAGTTGTAGTTTGCGGACGCTTCCAGGAGGAAGCGGGAAAGAATTAAGAAACAGAAAATTGGCCAGGCTTGGTGGCTCATGACTGGAATCCCAACACTTTCGAAGGCCCAGGCAACACGGCAAGACCCCATCTCTACAAAAAAAAAAAAAAAAAAATTCTGTTTTTAATTAGCCAAGTGTGGTGTGCACCTGTGGCCCCTGCTACTTGGGAGGCTGCGGTGGGAGGATTGCTTAGGCCCAAAGGTTTGAGACTGAACAGAGCCATGTTCATACCACTGCACTCCAGCCTGGGTGACAAAATAAGACCCTGTCTCAAAAAAAAAAAAAACCAGAACATTGAAAGAAAAGTTAAAAGAACATTAACCCCAATCTTACTGCATTAATTCATGATTAACCATAAACCTAACTGTAAGTCATAATCACAAAGCTTCTAGAAGAAAACATAAAAGGATATCATCATGATTTGGGGGTAGGCAAAGAATACTAACTTCATAGAAGAAAAAAATGATAAATTGGACTATGTCAAAATTTAAAACCTCTTTATCAAAAGATTACCAGTAAGAAATTGAATAGGTCAGGCATGGGGGCTCACACCTGTAACCGCAGCACCTTGGGAGGCCACGGCAGGAGGATCGTTTAAGCCCAGGAGTTCGAGACCAGGCTGGGCAACACAAGAAAACCCCGTCTCTACAAAAAATACAAAAATTGCCTGTGGTGTGCACCTGCAGTCCCAGCTACCTAGGGGACTGAGGCAGGAGGTTTACTTTACTCAGGAAGGTTGAGGCTGCATCGAGCAGTGATTGCGCCACTGCACTCCAGCCAGGGTGACAGAGCGAGATTGTCTCAAAAAAAAAAAAAAAGACAATGAAAACATCCTAAAGGTCTAGAGAAAAACAGAACACTTACAAAAGAAATAAATGTTGAATTGACCAAAGTACAGAAGGAAAAAAAAATTCAGGTGGGAATTTTCTATCCAGCTAGACGGCCATTTAAATGTTAAAGACTGGCCGGGC